TTACATGATCCTGTATAAAAAGCAGCCTTGTGTCAGCGAAGACAAACATTGGGCTACAGATTTTAATGAACCATCTGTGTCTGTCCCTGAATCAAACAAATATCACAGAAAGGTGGTTAAAAGCACCTTTTACCTTTTGCTTGTTAAAGGGAGGGCAATCCTTCTTAACAGCTGGCATAATAGTCCTCTTTTATGAGCAACAAGCTCCGTTTTGTACTCATGGCTGTGATAAAAGAGACTATATGCCACCTTTTTGATTCAAGTCATCAGATGTTGAAATTAGACATTTCCTGGATCAGATTAAGCCAGGGCCAGACCGGTGGACCAAAGCGGCTAGCAGTTAGTGTGGTCAAATTCAGCTAATGTCAACTTTATTCCTATAGCACATTAAAAAACAGCTACATCTGCTCAAACATCTGTACAACAAACTATATAAAGTGCAACAAATGAGTAAAAAGATAATTAAATAAAAAATAACATAAAATAATCTTAATAATTATAATAATACAAATAATAAAAATACATGAGACCTGCTCAGCTTATGTTGAAGGCCTAAGCAAAAAGGTGAGTTTTAAACGACTTAAAAACATGAATACACTGGGCCATTTTAACTTTCAACAGAAGAATGTTCCAGAGTCTTGGAGCTGCTAGGCAAAAGCCTGGTCTCCTCTGGTTTTCAGCTTAGATTTTGAAACTAATCTGCTAACAGATAGAAACATAAGTTCTCTCTTGGCAGTTTGGTGTAAGCAGGAGGCTAATATTTAAGTTAGAGGAAGATGGTTTAGTGAAGATAAGCTTTTTCAGTAAGTGCCCTGCACTACCCTTTAACAACAGAGATGGGAAGTAACGAAGTACAAATACTTCGTTACTGTACTCAAGTAGATTTTTCTGATATTTTTACTTTACTTTACTACTTATTTTTATGGCGACTTTTTACTTCTACTCCTTACATTTTTACACAAATATCTGTACTTTCTACTCCTTACATTTTAAAAAATTGGCTCGTTACTTTAGTTTTGAATCATTTCAATGGAGTTACCGTTATTATTTTTCACGTCATCAATACCAAATTCAATCTAATTGGATGGGAATCTACGTTGCATTTGACGCACCACTACAAGATGAATCGACAGATTCGGTGGTATTCATTCGCGGCAAATCATTGCAGCTTGGTGGCGGTGGCGTTAGCATAGTAGCATGGACGACGAGATGATTGAAAATGAACACAACGGAGATCTAGTCCTATTGGCAGACATCCATTTAAAATGTAGGCAACAGCATGAAAAAAGTGGTTTCTACTTTTACTTTTATACTTTAAGTAAATTTACAAGCCTGTACTTTGTTACTTTTACTTGAGTAAAGAAGTTTAATCAGTACTTCCACTTTTACCAGAGTATTTTTTAACACAAGTATCTGTACTTTTACTCAAGTACGGAAAGTGAGTACTTCTGCCATCTCTGTTTAACAGTTATATTTGTTTACTGCATTGAACTATTGTAGTCCAGCAAATTAATGGAGAACTGTTTTCCAGTCTTTGAGTATTATAACTTCTGTACAGCATTTAAATCTTTAGCTTTATCTTAATCTAACAAGCAGAAAAAATAAAGAAAACTATCATCACAGACACTAAGTTGGTGCAGACACAACCATGAATAACATCCTTGTCTTGGAAGTTATCTTAGGACAGATATTATGGTTATATGCCAGAAACCCTCCTTCTAGGTTCAATCCAGACTTCTGATCTGTTTACCCTGCAGTATGTAACAAGCACCTAAAGGGTAGTACAGAGTTTTTAGGGCAGAACATCTTTGTCCTGTCTTGTTTAGAGACCAAAGGCCCACCACATGATAAATTGCTTTGATGTACAAATTATCTGGAGGGATTTGTCAAATAAGTGTGAACAGGACTGAAGGGTAGGGAATATGCAGACAATTACACATTGTGTGGTGATTAATTTAAAAATTATAGCTAGCATAAATTATTAAGCTTAGTTCCCTTTTCTATTGCTTTATATGCTGTAAAATGATCCAATACTGTTATTCTGTGAAAGTTATCTGATTTTTTGTTTTTAAGGAAACAAACTATGGGGAGACCTGCTTTTTTCCTCATTTGGATTGCTTTCATTTGATTTCCTTTCAGGATCAATAAAGAATTTCTGAACTGGAGTACGTTTCAAAAAGCAGATTAAGTAAAAAAAGTTTTCTAAACCTGACATCAATGAAACTCTTGAGTTTTTTAGTTTCACTCAACCTCTGTTTCTGTCCTAACCTGGTTGGGAGCACGTTTTGTTCCGTAAACTCAGAGTGTCTTCTGTCTCAATCAGGTTGTTTTTTCCCCCCGATTTATTCAGGAGATTTTTGTTGTTGTGAATAAATTAAAAAAAATTATTCACTAGGTCCATTAAAGACATTAGGTTTTAAAAGAAAATATTGCATGTCCTTTTGATGAGGATCTCATTAAAGAATGATTGTTTTTTATAATTTATAGGGAGAGGATTACAACTCAGGTGACAGGATACAAGATTTATTTGGTTTTGGTTTGTTTAATATGAGTGACATGCTGATAATTTCTTAAATTTTCTTTTTACAGTACATGATGAACTATCAATCTATCCATCCATTTGTTGTCACGCTTATCCCAAGCAGCGTTGCAAGGGGTGCTGGTGCCTATCTCCAGCTGTCTATAGGCGAGAGATGGGGTACATCTTGGACAGGTGTCCAGTCTTTTCAGATTACACATAAATAGATTAATTAATTCTGCAGTGTAAAATGAATTACATAAAGGTTAGGATTAGGATTAATTTGGTTATAACAACCTACAGTGTACAGTACTGAGCCTACTGGTAAGTAGGAGGCAATCTAAAGCCAAACTATGGGACTGGTAACCGCTAATAATGGCCATTTATTGTGATGATAACATCCGAAGCGGCTGCAAACAGAAATTTAATATTGACTGTGCAATAAAAGACAGAATTAAAATGAGGAGGAACCCCATGAGATGATGCACAGGTCTTAGCTGTTTGAACAACATTTTTATAGTTTATCTTCTACTACTACCAGGGGATTTTTAAATAGATACATTGATCCACTACCATCCAAGCAATAAAGTAGTTTTCCCCTGCGTGATATTATTTTAGTTACAGCAGTCTGTGGTAGGCGGTTTTGATATGTCTTAGTTTGACTGAATATGTATTTTTCATATCTAAATAAAAATGTGTTCCTTGTAAAAATGATCATTTCTAACAAAAGGACATTCTTTCCGTATAAAACACACATTTTGGATGTTTTAAAATTAATATCAAATCAACATATACCTGTTGCTAATGGCGAGCATTTGAATTATTTGGACTATAAGGAAATATACTTCAGATATCATAAATACATATATTCAGTCAACCTGACAACAATCAAAATGGCCACTTTAAATGGTACACACATTTCTAAGTATATAAACTTAATTCTTTATAGTTTATTTCTTTTTTTTTTTTACTTTCAATTTTTGCTGAAAAACATTTATTTAAAAAAAATATTATTATTGTTCAGTCTAGGAATGTAACTTTGAACAGATCAAAAGTCTCAAAAGAAGAGTGGTGACTTAACGTGGATCCACATAAGATAAACATTTCAAGGTGTCCTTAAACTGGGAACCATGTGACCAAATGTCTCAGACTACAAGCTGAAAGGTAGTACTTTCTACAACACCTTTTAATTTCCTAGATTTTAAATCCACAAGAAGATAATACATGTTGATCATTAAATATAGTTGATGTTCAAATGGTCTGTTGGAACCATATGAGCTGTTGATTTAAAAAAGCCTTTACCACTGTGTTGATACAATCTAAAAATATATCTAGTCACTAAAAGGAAAAACAGCTATTTTTAGATTCCATTTCATCCCATAATGCAACAGTTTTAGTACATTTTCTAATATGTGTCAGCTAATATAATGGCCAGTTCACAAAAAGAGAAAAATGCAATATGTCTAATGTGCTGGAGAGAAAAAAAATCAGAAAGGTTGGCTGATGGTTGATGGATCCTGAGGGTGAACTAAGAGATTTATCTCTTTCAGAAACATCAGATCAGTTAAAAAAAAAAAAAAACTCCCTAGCTGAACCTCACGATATTCTTTAGTTTAACAAGTGATTAAAGAAAAACAAACATTTACAGTACTTTAGTAAATCTATAGAAAAACAACAACCTTACATTACTCAGCAGGTTTAATTACAATTTTGTTAAAACATATAAATAAATACATAAATGAATTGTAATACAGAAAAATACTTTTTAAAGTAGTAAGTGTTGGAAAAACATTTGTTTTTATTTCAAGAAAATAATGGGCTATAATCATTGAGTAGGCTACAGCAAGGAGTGGATATGATTCTTTAATATTATAAGTTTAAGTTTGTTGGTAAATGTCACTTTAATGTGCCTTTCTCTGTTTGTTTTCTCATCATCCCTTCACTTACAGTACACCCCTTTAAATAGACTTGTCACTAAAATATGCTATACATATTCAGTAACATGAAGCAGAGCTTTATGCACTGAGCTCCTTATCGAAAGAATGGCCCTAATTCAGCACAGCCTTACTAGCAAGGACAAAAGAATGATCCAAAAAAAAGGAACAAAAAATTCAATTACAATCTGGTTTATGAAATCCATAAAACTTGCCTGGCAACCACAGACAAACTAGCAGGCATGCTGACATTGTTGTCAAGGAGACGGGAGAGCACGTAAAACTTTATTTTACCCTGCCACTTTTTTTATCAGTTATTTGCTTTGAAAAGAACAAGATTTTGCATTTTAAGTTTGGGAGTTAATTAAGTATGCTTGCACTGTCTTTACTTAGAATGCCAATTGACGTACATCCGGGCTGTTCTTCCCAGCTAACACATTTAATCTGCAGAAGTTAGAATTATCTTGAGGCCACAAACCTTGGAAGTGGTTGTTAACAGAAAACCATTAGTAACACCTCTATCAGCTCAAATGGGCACATTTACTTACATGAGTGCAAGGCCGAAGTAGTTGGCGGTACTTCCCCAATACATCGGATTCTCAATGACGCTGAAGGGAAAACCCGTCACCTTCTCATCCATCAGTATGCCAAAGTAGTCACCTAAACAATGAAACACATCAACACTGGATTAAGAAGTTACTTCATACAAATTCTGTCAGATTTTACATCCCCCTTTCCCTACCCATTGACTTAAAAGTACTGAAAAAATGTTCTGGAAAGATATAGGCCAGACCTTGTGACGCAACAGTATCGCATCTGACTCCAGATCCAAAGGTTGCATGTTCATATCACGTCAGGGTCCCATTTTAGGGTTTATGGGTTAGAGCATTGCACATGGAATCCAGAGGTTCAGAGTTCATGCCCCACTCCCATAGACTGCCACTCTGGGTCCCTAAGCAAGACCCTCAACCCCACACTGCTCCCCGGGCGCCCCACAGTAGCAGCCCACTGCCTCCCAAGGGGATGGGTTAAATGCAGATATTTAAGTTTGTTGCTTTGTAGTTTTGACAGTGTAATGACAATACAAGTTGAGTTCTATTTTCAAACAGGCTTTGGATGAGTTGGAGAAACAGAGAAAGAGATACACAACTGGCCATAAAATGTAGTATGCCCAATTTCTGATTAGAATTTATGCATAATACTGTGGAGTCATTTTGCTTTAAGTTGCTTGGCACTTTAATCAAGTTACCATCCTTTGACCTGGCAAAACAGTGCTTAGACCCTGCTGCTCCCTCCTCCATGTTTAACAAATGATGTCACTCACTGTGAAACCATCCTTTGGCAAAATTTGAAGGATACAGAGATCTTTCATGAACCAAAAGTTTGAAAATTTTGAAACATCAGTTGACACTTTTTTCCAGTCAAAGGTGGTGTTTTATCGCCAAGGCAAGCCTCTCAGTCTAGTTGTGGTGTCTTAGCAACGGCCTTCTTGCTGCAGCTTGTTCTCTCAAACCTGCAGAGTGAAACCTCTTCACAGTTGAAACTAAAGATGCTTAAATATGTCATCCTCCTGCTGCTACCCTGTGAGCCCCCTATTACCTTAGCCATTAACTCTTAGAATGTTCTCTGATTCATCTGTAACTGACCTCTTCCTGTCAGTTTTCCCTGTTTTTGAGTGCCATTTGATTGTCAAAAAAAACATCACTCATTAACACCTTGACTTTCTTTGCAATTTCCCACAAATACATTTCTAAGCAATATACTAGGTTGTTCTCCCTAGTTTTGTGTAGTATAACATTGTTCAAACCGCCATGGCAGAGGTTATGATTAGCTGTAAAAGTATGGTTTTCCTTTACATAATATCCTTTTTTTTTCTGTAATCCAAATTATAGAATCATACTGACCAAATAGTGAAGGTCACCTTTGTGCCTAAAACTGAAAAAATCCAGTCTTCAAGTTACTAATTTGTTGCCTGAGTAAACTGTAATCATCCTTTAATAACAACTATAGATGCAGCTTATATTTACAGTTAATAGTCAATGAGTCAGGATATTTGTAGCTTTCTGTACCTTTAATTGGATCAAAATAAGAACAGTTTTCTTTTTTCTTTTAAGTAGCTTTAAAGTAGAGTTTTTAAGTAGAGTGTTAGATTAAAAAGCTTAATAAACACACATTAGTCAGCTATTTCCAATTTATTTAAAATTGGCTGCAGAGAGGGACGTCTGGGCCTCCCCACTGGATGGATGGATGGATGGATGGATGGATGGATGGATGGATGGATGGATGGATGGATGGATGGATGGATGGATGGATGGATGGATGGATGGATGGATGCTGAATAGTTTCTATTTCACTTCAGGCCTGGCTCTAATAAATTGGAGGCAGATACTCGAGTGAAACTTTAACTTATACAACTGATCACATGCTTTATTATCTAAAGGAAAAACATCAAATTCCGTGTCTTTCAGCAGTTTGTAACCTATACATACCTAACCCTTCTAATGAAACATCTAGTTTTTATTTTAGAAATACAACCTTATTAGAAAGAAATACTGCTTGTCTCAGACAAGAATTCCTCTTGGATAATGGTTACCATCAGCATAATAATCTAAATGCTGGATGTGACAGTAGATGTGGAAAAAGAAAAGAATAATAACTGAACAAGGTCTTAAAAGGATCTATTTTATCTATTAGTGGTCTACTCAAAGTCCAGACTTAAATACAAAATCTAAACAAAATTGTAAAAACACAAATGCTTTCCGCAAGTGAAGGAAAAAAAGGAGAAACCAATCTTTCTAAACGTATTAAGGTCTATTTAAGGTGTTTCTGTATCAGCTTATAAACTGTTTCGCATGGCTTTTGTTCAGTTTTCATCTGAAAGCTTATGTAAGACCTTGTAGATTTCTTCTATTCTGTTGTTAATGACTTATTTGAAAGTCGAAATAACCTGGAAGAATAAAATCTGTTTTTCTATTATGCATGTCTATTTGCAGATTATATTGTTGGATGTCAGGTCAGTCAAACTAGGACACTCCTCACAGTAACCTGTACACTTATGACATTATACTGTGTTATATGTCCCCCAAATTGTGTCGAAGCAAACAAACACAAATACTATCTGAGCGGTTTGGTGTGATGAAAGTAACAGGGTGTGCAGGTTTTAATATTTCTCTTACGTATCCCCTGCACACCTACATACAAATATTCATACACATACAAATATACATAAGCTGCTAGTACGTAAGAGGGGCTGAATTAAGCATTCGTACTGTTTGCCCTGTTTTGTGTTAAAAGGGAGCGCAGTGATGTCCAAATTACATAACACTTCTCATTATGGATGCTCATTTTGACGCCACAGAGAGTCCAAAGGATAGGTGATAATGTAAACATAACTGCTTGGCATTCAAAGGAAAACCAGAATTCTCTGCCTTTCTACAATTCAGCTAACCTCAATTCATGACCTGCCAGTTGATAAAAGGTTTTCTATTCAGATGTCAAAGCTCCTCTTTGTTTCATTTTTCACTCATCACTTTGTTTTCTTTGTTTTATAGAACAATAATGAGAAACTCTAGAAAATAGTGACTGTACTGTTCATCCAAGGCCAAACAGCTAGCAGAGCAGCACCATGATTTCATTTGAACTGGATATTTATCTTTGCCCTGGCGTGGAGCAGTTTGAATTGGTCACTGTTACTCATGTGATTTGATATGGAGCCCACATGATGTCCTGAATAACATGCAACGCATACCGGCTGGGTGTTAAATTATGCAGCTTTCACTCTATGAAGAATGGTTGCTGAAATGTTACAGGAGCTGAAGAGGAATATTTATATTCATACAAGCACTTATACTGAACATCTGGAGCACAGAGTTCAATCACTGAATTAACTTTTTCAAAGGCTGTTGGATATAATAGCATATTTTCACAGCCTTGTTTGCTATTGTCACGTTTGTTAGATATGAAGGTACCAAGAGCCAAAAAAAATTAAATAATTTATAATAAAATAAGAACTTACAGATATCTGCAGGAGGAACCAGTCTTGGAATATAGGGAGTAATTTGGTCAGTCAAATGAGCACTTAAGTACATAAGGGTTAAACGGAAGAATACAGTAATGAACAATGGAAACCATTACGCTTAAATAAAGAGGTAGGAGTGCATGGAATGCAGGGGAGTTTGTCAGTGATATATGAGGAACAGCTGAGGCAGACGTAAAAGAGGGGAACTGATGGATATAGACTGATAAACGAGAATTCAATTAAATTAAGACACAAAGAATCTATCAAACTAAGATAAAAAAGTATAGAAGTAATCCCACACTCTAAAGACTGCTGGGACACTGGATTATAATGTATACTATTTAAACTTACATGTGAGGTCATAAGCACCACAATAACATATTTGGTCACAATAAATGAGAAAAATCAATAGCTGTAACCAGTTGATAAATCCATCAAAATTAAGTGAGTTTTTTGAGGATTCTGTTGCTAAAAATAAAGCTTATATTAGTTTGAAAGGTTTTGCAATTTTGTGAAAGATTTGAGTCATACTTCTAATCATCTAAAAAAAAAAATTGATCGTTTTTTATTGAGTTGATCTTTCAAATATTCTACCTTGCCAAAACATAGTTTCTTTGTCTTAGCATTTTAGTTTCTACTCTTGTTCTCAATGACTTGCACTTAAGTAAATAAGAAAACACAATTTGGATACAGATCCGGGGGTCCTTTCCTCCAAATCAAAACCATACTGGGTGTACTGTGTTTGTTTGTTTTGTTTTTTCCACTGTGACATCAAACTACCACAGAATGATGATAGGGTCACAGAGAGGGATGCTGTCCAGGATACCCTAATGGTACACCAATTAAGTTGACGACTGTGTGAGAAAACAGTCAATGGGCACAGCTGGGGTGAGACAAGCAAATCCGATCCCAGTCCTCTGCCTTCCTGTGCAGGCTACTCCAGAGTAGAGGACAGTCCAGCCTCTCCTAGGGTACTGGATTCCAGAGGATGTAAAATTAACTCAAGTATTTCTGGAAGGTATCACTTAACCTCCAACAAAGGCTCAGGTGTTACCAAAGTCGAGGCAGGTGCTTCAGCAACAGGTTGGAGGACTCCATCTCTAACTGGTACCTGATCCTCCTCACACTGATCCCCTTTGATTCCAGCAAACTCCAATCCAAGGGTTGCTTCAAGGTAAGAGCCTGGTTCTGCCATACTTTATAATAACTTTAGGCTTGGTTTTCTCTTCATGAAGACTAAAACTTTATTTTAAATTAGCCCAAAAACTGTTTTTTCTAAGAACCATGAAAATGTTTCAAATCCTACACCTAAAAATGGTATGATTTTTACCCTCCATTTGTAAAGGCTTCAGTCATTTTAGGTTCAAAAAGAGTCAAATTAATTTCCTTAAACAAATTTCTGGTTTTCTCATTTCTATTGAAAGAGATATTCTAATAAAAATAGTGTCTGCCACTGTATGCTGCTGATGTGTTGAGAATGCACAGGTCAATAAATGTAACTACAACCCCTTTAAGATGCTTAAATTATAGAATTATACTTAAATGAATTATAAAAAGGCTTTAGGCTAAAATGTAAAAACATCATTATAAATATAGACATATTATTTTTAATATTTCGGTCATTCAGAAATACCAGCACCTATTTTTAGATTTCTAAATGATCACTCTGATGTATTATTGCCAAAACCACATCCACACTACTTCTGTTGTTAGATGTTTTACACACAGTTGACTTTCTGTTATGCTGCCCCCATATGAAAGAAACCAGTGATGGACACAGGCAATCCAGGACAGGCGTGGGACTGTCAGTCTGTGTCATGAACATGAGTCACTCCCACTCAGCTTGCTGACCTAGATAATACTTCTCATTCCTAGCAAATGGTCATCTGTCAACATTGTGCACGTGTTTATTTGCAATTTTGCCAGTTTATTTTCATTTGCATAAAAAAAAGAAAAAAAGTCATGGTCAGCTTGCCTCAGAGGCACGGGGCCGCCGGTGTCCAAGCTACCATCACCGGGTCAGGTTCAGTCGCTCTGTCCCCCGTCCAGGAGCTCATGGCTCGGGTTAGGCTGCACTGTAGTCGACCAAAATCCCAGACGATTTTGAAATTACCCCCAGACATTTTTTTAGGTATGAAAAGTAGGACATGTCCTTGAAAAAGAGGACGTCTGGTCACCCTTTTCCCACCTAAAGCAGCAAAAACTCGCGTGCTGCTTCCTTTTTGATGCTTGTACAAGTTTAGTTCTGATGCGCAGCTGAAGCATCTTTGCTGCTCTGGCTGCGCGGTGGAAAAAGTGGGTCTGATGCGTGTTGGGCGGACCTACCCTATCCTTTCTTTGCCGTTAACTGTTAGGAATCCAGTGTGTGGGCTGTGTTTGTTTTTTTGTGTTCTCTCCCTCAACCACCAGGTGGCGCCCCTTTCTCGTTGGTCCTCCCACACACCTGCAGCTGGTTGTGCTCATTACTGAGGACTCTGGACTGCCACTACCTCGTCGCCAGAGTGTTTGCCAGTTTTGGGTACTCTAGCCAAGCTAAGTTTAGCTGAGTCAAACTGAGTCTTTGTGTCTCTGTGTTCTAACCTTGTTTTGTTTTTGCCTTTTCTGCAGGAAGTCATTCTGCAAACTGGATTTTTGGCCTTCTCCCTCTGGAAGGATTGTTTTGAGCTTCACACTGAGCAGGGGATTAATCTCCACACGACCTGTTTAAGTTCTCCTGGAAATCTAAGTGGCAGTCCGCTTCATTGCTCCTCAAGGAACCAACCAAACCTAAAACCTGTCCGCCCTCCAATGAGCCCCCCAATCTCTGGATAAATCCACACCGACTGGAAGAGAACCTTTTTCTGCTAACGTGAGTCCCGTTCATCTCTGATTTTTGCAAGACGTTGTTCAAAATTCACACGGACCCTGAACTAACCTCTGACTTCCCTTCTCACTTCCAGCTCCGGTTCACCAGCTCTCTGAGTTACCCTGAATTAACCTTATTGATTATTTCATTCATTTCAGCTATATTTGCTGTGATCAGTGGGTAAAAAGTAGTTTGAATCTATTTTAAGTGAGAAAGTCCACCAGAAAAACATCCTCAGTGCAATCAGTTCATCCAGATTACCGCTCAGACCCCCGTACACCGGTGGTGTGTTGTCAATAGGAAACCCATTCAACAGCAGCCTCTGGCCCGGTCACCTCCTCGTGGTTCGCAGTGGCGGCAGGAAGGCCTTTTTTATGTACCTAATCCAAACTGCAGGCACCAGGATAATAAAAGCAAGCATGTTTTACCGGCAGATTTCGGCATTTTAAGTTAAGGCGTTAATAAATTGTTTTAGAGGAGTGATCAGACAGCATGCCCGTTTATATGTTTTGAAGGCATGGTTTCGAGGGGTTCGTAGGGAGAGGGCTATGTTGATGTTTCGCATTGTTGTTTAACATGGTACACTTTAAAACATACTGTAAGGATGGCTCTGGAAAATTATAACAAACTTACCTAAAAAAGTTCCAGTGAAGCCAAGAGCAAGAAAACTGCTGACCACCAGTACAGTTCCTAGAACTATGAGGGAGATCCCAAAGTAGAAAACATCTGTCCTCTCCAGCAGCTCCCATCTGGCTTGGTTCTTCATCACTACTGTAATACTGCAAAACAGATAAGGAATAACTTTATTTAGCAGTTCTTCCTAACTGAAACAGGTTACAACATTTTTCTCTAAGTTGCAGCCAATTAATAAAAACATTAAAATAAAAGTAGAAAAGTATGAAAACAATCTTAAGGTTTGATTACTTTCAGAAAAAAAAATAATCAAAATTAAAAGTTTATTGAATATTACAGGGTTAGCAGCCTAAGAAGAGAGCCCCAGACTTCCCTCTGCCCAGCCACCGTGGCCAGATCCTCAGAGGCCAAGGTGTTCCCACGCCAAGTGATACACTAAGTCCCTCCATTGTGTTCTGGGTCTTCTTCTGGGTCTGTTCCTGGTCAGAAGGGCCTGGAACGCCCAACCAGGCAGGTGTACAGGTGGCATCCAAACCAGTGTTGTTTTTGTCAACGATGCCGATAACGAAATTATTCCATTGATGCTTTTTTTTTTCATGAAGATAATGTGAAATTACGAGCTGAACATGGATCTTTGATGATGAAAACATGACTCATGGGTGAGTTTTCATTGATGGGACAAGACTGGGTGAAAATGTTAGCGTCATTGCATGCATCACTGTGCTGCAAACTGTTAGCGAAGCCAAGCAGTATCAGCCGTGCTGCTGCGTCCTGTTCGGTCACGCCGTCCACCTGGCGTGCAGCTGTGCACATTCTGCATGACCACAGATGGACCATGGCATTGGAGGCCGGGGTAAAAGTAATCTGGAATGGTCCGGTACTGAGTGCTCATCTCTGGCAAACTCTCCTCTTCCAGATGTGCTTGTGCAGAAATGCATCTTTAACCTCGCTTAGGTCAGAGTCTGCGGCTGCGCTCCACACCGATGATTCGCTCTCAGCACTATGGCTCTTCCTGCCCTTGCTACTTAAGAAACCATGTGTGGCTATTCATCATCCGTCAACCATAAAAAATCTATTTGTCTAACTATCAACATTTTACATCTTCTAGCTCACAAGAGGTGATTCAAAACCTTCTTTAACTTCTAACAAAATGAATCCCTAATTATAAGCAAATATTTCATTGCATACTGTTTATTTTTGGATAATGATCCAGATGAAAATGTGAAAAGAATACTGCTCTCTTTGTTCTTGTTTCTACCTATTCAGATATGATGTAATTGTTTCCTTGTATTTTTATTAAAACAGTTACTCTTTCCTTTGAATATTTTAACATTCCAATTCACATTGTCTTCAAATCTAGGTCCAGATTGCCATGGCATTACAAGGCAATTATGTAGGTTCTCTGTGTAATTTTTCACATCAGATATGATCCCAATTAATTCGAATGTACTTTGACCCCTGATCAGCGGTAACCAAGGGGAAAATTCTTAGAAATAAAAACAAAATTGCCAAAGTAGAAAGAAGAATGTTTTTGGTCTTTGCTTTTCTGGAGTAATGAAGATTTTATTGATCTGTGTGTAATGCATAATTTATAGTAGATCAGAAAGTGTTTACCTTTGGATGGAAACCTTGTAGGTCTAAAACCATTCCTTTATTGTAAATTTTTGCTAGCTTGTTTTTCCTGATATTTTAACCAATATGATGTGTTGAACTAGACACTTTCAGACATTTTTTTTATAAAGTAGGGCATTAAATTATTAAAAAGTTTACTTGAATTCTATTAATCAAAGTTTTCTGCCCAGCAGCAATGATGAACTGCACGGCAGCATTCTATAATCTGGTTGTTACTCGAAATTGTAGGCGTTAGCTTTTTATGAATTGACATAAAACTGACTAAAACTATAACTTAAAGTTATGACTAAAATCTGACTAAAACAAATAAAAGTTTTAGTCCTGAAGATGAAAACCAAGACTAAACCTAAGACGGCTGCCAAAAACAACCTTGATCCAAACCATATGGCCTAGCCACCTAAACTGGCTCCTTTCGACGTGTAAAAGGAGTAGCTATACACTAAGACCCTCCCAGCTGGCCAATCTTTTAGCTGCCTGTATCCACAATTTTGAGGCTGTAAACAAGAAAGTTCACGCAAACCTCAAATGCACATATGGTTGATTTTAGGCCTAGGTTTTATTCTAATTGGAGAAAATCTTCACTTAGGTAAAACTTATAAACAACACTTGCTTTTAAAACTAAAAGCTTGTTGTATCACCATTCTCAAATATGTTTTTTTTAAATCCCCAAGTTAAGACATCTGAGGTGACTGTTATTTGTGCTGTTTATCATGTTTATTCCTTCGTCTATTAGGCTGTGATAAGCTATTTTTATTTGACTATGAAATTCAACCTCGCACAGTGAAATAGGTTTAAATCAGCCCAATCAAAGTTGTTTCTTTTTTTAGATTCTGCATAAGGGAAGTCAATAAAGGTAAATTGCCATTCCACCTAATAAACATTTAGAAATCAGGCATCTGCACCCTATAAGGAGCTCCCATTATTAGAGGCCAGTTAATTAACACCCAACAGTAAAACAGTATTTGAGACTGGACTGAGTGCTAAAAAGGCATTCCACCATTACTCCTAAATAAGAGGAGAAGAAATAAGCTGCACATCTTTCAGCAACTGATCACCTTCATCCAGCTTTATGTTTTCCTCAACTCCCACAGTTTTCTTTCTATCTGTAAGTGTGTTTGCAAAATTCAGGAGGAAAGGAGAGGGCACGTTTGCTGGAGTGCATTTTAAGTTGTCTGACGTCACACTTGATTGCTCTCTCCGGATGATGTTAGGGCCGTGGGTTGTGTAAGTGCAGACATGCTCTAAAAGCACTTTCATTTTCTATTTAGTGCCTTTGAGTAAAGCTCGAAACTGAATAAAGGGTTAGGGTTAGGTGACTGCTCTAAAAACAGCTCCATTTGATTTTGGTGATGTCTGTTCGAAAACATGTTACCTGCTAATATGTTAAGCATTAAAAACTGATGCAGTTGTTGCTGGACATCAGTATGATTTGGAGCTCAGAAACATTGAACGTGTTGGAGAAATTTTATGGGTAATGACCAGATGTGCATTTCTTTTTCAGCAAGTTTAAAATAACTGACAAAAAAACTGGAGTTGCAACAATTGTTTTCAGAAAGGGCGGTCTAGTGGTTAGGTCATAGAGCTTGGAATCCTGAGCTTCTGAGTTCAAACCCCACTCCTACAGACTGCCAGTCTGGCTCTCCGAGCAAGACCGTTAACCACACACTGCTCCCCGGGTGGCCCATGATGGCAGCCCACTACTCCCCAAAGGGTTGGATTAAATGCAGAGGTACATTTCTCCAATGTGAGATCAATAAAGTCTTAATAATTATTATTATTAATTATCCCTGCCCTACATGTTCCTTCCTATTCTAGCCCAGCTGTCCCAAACAACTGCAGCATAAATTGCTGCAGAATCCTTTGGGTTACTCATAAAAATTTGTTGTGAGGAACCCATGTAGAGAAGGGTAGTCGAGGAGTAAAGGTCGTCAAGGTCACCAGATGTTATGACCCTCAAATAACTACAAAAAAAAATGTTATTTGCCCAAGATAGACAGAGATAGACTGATTATACAGTCAGATGACTGACTGTAGAGTGGCAAGATCCTGGAGAGGATGATATAATGCAATATGAGAGATATGAAAAAAAAAAAGACATTGCATGCATATAAAGCAGCCGTATGATGAGGTAGACATTAGTTCTTTAATCTTGGAGATATTCTTTAGGTCTCTTTTTTATGAGCCTCTGCAGGTTCAGGTCTAAGTCAATAACCACACCTAGATGTAATGCCTGATTGATGGTTTCTAGCTCTGTTAATTGAAGTTATTTGCTCATTTTTAAACACTCATCTTTTGGTCCAAAAACTAGCCTGGTCCTCTTTACTTCATGGTTTTACAGAGAAGAGCTCTTCATAAAATGGAGAACATCGTAAATAAACAACACTGAGCATCCTCTTCTAAAGCCTGGTAAACAACAGAGGGTCCTTGCTGTTATTGTAAACTTTGTTTATCAGGGTTCCTACAGCATAAGGCAAGTTAAATTCAAGACTTTTTAAGACTTTTTAATGCCACTAGAAATAAAAATTTAAGACCAAATTCACAAGAAAAACCTGCTTGTGACAACTTAACCCAAAGGTTCATTTTAACATTTATTATTATTTTATTATTATTTTCATAGGGTTGGACACACACCATGCATGGATGTGGGAAATGGTTTGCAGCTGCGTCTTCTGTGGCAACCAAAAATATCCCACAAGTCCAAAACTAGGTTTCTGGTTAATCAGAGAAAACTGGGTTACGGACTCAGTGCTGTGACAGGTATGGTGCTCTTCCTTTATTAAGGGTGACCAGGAAGTGAAATGTGATGTAGCGTTGTGTTCTGCCACGTCAGACACAAAGACCCTCTGCTGGGGAGGCTGTTGAATAACACAATCTGGAAAGGTGCACTGCTGGGATTTAGATTAGAAAAAACGACAGAAAAAGAGGTCTGGAGGACAGGGCGGTTGGTGGGGGTTAAGTGGTTCTAAATGGACGGACCACCATAACAGCAGGAGATGAGTCAGCTTTAATGAAAGAAAGAAATTCAGACATGTATGCCTGCATCCTCTATAGCTAGAGTAACATAATTGAATAAGGGAATAAGCTTTACATGAGAAAAAATACATTTATAGCATTGAGGGAGAAAAAAAAAAGAGAGATAAATGGTGAAATGAGGAGGAAGAGAACAAGGGTTAAGGGTCAAGGTAGGAAGCTTTTGATGTGAGTGAATGAAACGGCACTTATTCACAGCAGAGTGAAAACATTTGAACGTTTCAGGATTGGGATTTTAAACGAGAAGCATAACTTCTTTTTAATCTTTTTAGGTTGAGCAGGAGAATTGCAGTTAGCCTCCAAATCCAGTTTGTTTTACTGACAACGGGAATAAAATTTACAGATAACAAATATAAAACATACTATTAAGTATACTTTTTAGTGTACAAAAATAGGGCAGAAACGAGTATTTGCCCTCTTTTAACGTTTTTTTTTCTGACCCTGTAGAAAAAAAACAATGTTCTTTAGACCAAACTTGTTCAAA